GGTCTGGACCGTTGATCAGGCCCAAAGGTTCAGATCCGATTTCGGAATCTGAAAAGTGGGCGCCAAAACTGCACCGCCGGCTGGGCCTACCGGTGGACCGGTACCTGGCCTAAACAACTAGCCGTTGGGTCTGGTGGGGTCTAAACGAGGCCTACTGGACCCTAAACTGAGCAGACCTTTTTCTAGACCTACTTGGACCTAGCTCAGACCGTCGTGACCTGGTACCTAGGTGATCAGGCCCAACGGTTCAGATCCGATTTCGGAATCTGAAAAGTGGGCGCCAAAACTGCGCCACCGGCTGGGCCTACCGATGGACCGGTACCTGGCCTAAACAACTAGCCGTTTGGTCTGGTGGGGTCTAAACGAGGCTTACCGGACCTTAAACTGAACCGACGGTTCTACCTGGACCTAGCTGGGACCATCGTGTCCTGGTACCTAGGCCTAAACTGTGCCTATTACAGAACCGGGCCCTAACTGGGGCCCGTGTGGTATTGTATGCCACACTACCACAGTTGTCTTCTGCATGCTTATGTGTTCGTCTGTGTAGCACAGTTGTGTTCCACATGCTTTTGTATTCGTGTGTGTACCCCAAGCACCTCCCCCTACCTAGCACAGTTGTTTTCTGCACACTTTTGTATTCATCTGTGTGCGTGGTTCTGGGTATATAACCTGTTCCTTATTCTGTAGCCATCTGTGCAGGTCTGGACGATTGTGTACAGCAGGTGTCAGTCTGTCGTCTGTGGCACATGTATATCGTCAATCTGTATTCTTCAGTTAGGTTTGCCCCCCTCCTGGAGTCCTCCCGTCTTTACCCGAATAGAACGCCCCGTCATAATGGCTGCATCTGGACTGACAGTTGCCCAAAATACGGCTATAAGAACAGGGCGTTCTATTCGGGTGGTGAAGACCGTAGCCATGTGATGTGTGAGTTTGCATATGTCTGCTGTAAAGTCTGTATGTCTCTGTGGTGCCATACGTTCTGTACCACAGGATTGGTCATCTAATCTGCCGCCACCTAACCGAACAGACCTACCCTTCGATGGCAACAGGAAGAGAGAGGCTTTAAGTACACTCGGGCGTGGCGGTGCGGCACTGCGCACCAAGCTTTGCCAAACCGCCACCGGTGCACTTTCTTTTGGTTTTTGGCTGGCGCCGCCAACCATGGTGGTTCGGTAGCCCTGAGCCTCCGAAATCTTAGGAGCAGGCCATGAAGAAATCTTCCAAGGCTGGGACCGTGAACAGGCGATTTAAAGCAGAACGAAAGAAGAAAGAAGAGGAAGGAAGAAGAAGAAGGACAAAGAAGACAAAAGAAGAGGAAGAAGAAGAAGAAGAAGAAGAAGAAGAAGAAGAAAAAGACAGAAGAAGAAAGAAGAGGACATAAAAAAGGGAAAAAGAATGCAAAATGAAGAAGAAAACAAAAAAGACAAATCGAAAAAGATGATGATGGTGATGATAATAATGATGATGATGATGATGATGATGATTAAAAAAAAAAAAAAACGGCTCGGCAACCCAGCCATTGTGGCTGAGTGGTACACACGAAGCTGACATGGGTAAGAAATTCAAAAAAGGAGAAACTCATAAGCGCGATCAGAAGTCAGAAGCTAGCAGAGCTTTGCCAAATACAGTAAGTGTTTCTCTTCCCTTTCTTTTTTTTTCTTTTTTTTTCTCTCTCTCGTTTTTTTTTTTTTCCTTTTCTCTGTCTCTCTCATTTCTGGGATTACAGGTTGTGCTGATCATTACATTAATTCGTTTTCCCGAAAAACCAATGGAAGAAGAACTCTTTAGGTAGTGAAAGGTGAATTTGAGAGAATTTTGAGAGAATTTGAGAGAATTTTAAGAGAATTTTGAGAGAATTTTGAGAGAATTTGAGAGAATTTTGAGAGAATTTGAGAGAATTTTTGAGGGAGAATTTGAGAGAAGGCTTTCGTTTCCACAGATGCCTTCTCTTTTTTTCATTTTTTTATAAAATACCACCAGTGATGAAAATTAATCAAATTTGGTGATGGACCATCACCAAATTCTATTAATTTTAAACTTCCATAACATACCTTTGAACAAGGTGACTGAGCTCATTTACAAAAACATAGAAAAATAAAAATAAAAATAAAAATAAAGAAATAAAAAGTAAACGGAGGACGGCGTGGAGGACGAAACACACACAAAGCAAAGAGCTGCGGGAGGCTTCACTTTTTGCGCCTCTGGAAGTTCTTTTTTTCCTTTTTTAAAGAAATAAAAAGTAAACGG